TCGTCGGTCCCTCCCCCGCCGCTCCTCCCCCCCTCGGCTGCAAAGCAAGGCCCGTGCGGCTTGTAGCCGCCGAACCTCGCCGCTTCCCCCCCGCTGCAAAGCGAGGCCCGCGCAGCTTGTAGCCGCCGAACCTCGCCGCTTCCCCCCCGCAAAGCGAGGGCCACGCGGCTTGTAGCCGCTGGGCCTTGCCACTCTCCCCCTCCACCGGCTCCGAGGTGGCGGCGAGGCCAGCTACAGAGCGTTACCTGCGCATGCACAGGGGACGCTCTGTCACTTTTGGGGGGATTTAAGTATCCCCCGGATATTTTTTTTTACTTTTAAGATTTTTGTGCAGACCTGGGGACTGCCCCAAGTGTGCACGGAAATCTCCCTCCCCCCCAGGTGCCCCCGATGCGCGGATTTAGGTATCCGCACGCATGGGGGCGACTTGGCTATTAGATATATAGATTGCACTTCGACCCACTGAAATCAACGGGCCTCAGAGGGCTGAACATTGTCTTAAGATGGTCGTTAGCAATACTACAGTACCCTGACCATTCAGCAAACGTCTACAAATTGAACAGAAAAGGATTTAATACATTGCATTTGCCATAGGGAACTGCAGGTCTTTCCCGTAGTGATCTGGAACACCAGCTACCTCTGGATAGGTAAAGGTAAAGGTTTCCCCTGCTCGAAAGCCAGTCGAATCCGACTCTAGGGTTGTGGTGCTCATCTCCGTTTCAAAGCCGAAGAACCAGCGCTGTCCGAAGACATTTCCGTGGTCATGTGGCCGGCATGACTAAACACCAAGGTGCACGGAACGCTGTTACCTTCCCACCGAAGTGGTACCTATTTATCTACTTGCAATTTCTTGCTTTTGAACTGCTAGGTTGGCAGGAACTGGAACTAGAGATGGGAGCTCACTCCATCATGCGGCACCCGGGTCTCGAACTGCTGAACTACTGACCTTCCACAGCCTGCAGTTCAGCGTCTTAACCACTTGAGCCACCGCAGCTTCCTACCTCTGGATACCAAGGGTATAAAGGGAAAAGCCCTGTATTTATAGAAGGACATATTTTATTCAGTACATACAAAAAACAAACAAACCTCCCCCACCCCCGGACAGGACATCCTTTGACTGTGTGTGTTCGTCACCCCTGGTTTTTGATTTTCTTCTTATTTTACAATCAGAAATTGCATAGAAATCTGGAAATTAAACTCTCCCATGGGAAAAAAAAAAGCTCACGTCTGCAGAGTTGCTGCTAAGAAGGATTTCCTGACCATTGACCAGTTCTGCCCACTGAACCTTTTTAAAGAAATGCCTGGATTTTGAGCCCAAGGCCCTTCACTGGGGGACGTTTAGTAGCAAAGAGACTCTCAGATACAAGAAGGCGCCTGGATCAGAAGTTAATTTCGGAGGGTAGCTGCGTTGGTCTGTAGTGGAGCAACGAGACGAGTGGATCAGAAATGGATCTGTTGAACTGGTGTGTGTGCGTGGGCTGGGTTGATACCTTTTCCCAAGAAATGACTGAGCCTATCATGGATACAAGCCTCCAGCTGTGAGAACGCCTCCTTAAGGCAGCGCTAAGATGGTGTTCAGAAGCTGACAACCGGGGAGAGTTAAGCTCTACCACCCTCTGCTGGCGGGAGAAGGCAAACGCCCCTCTCTTCCCCACAATGTCTTCCCGCCACTGGTTGGTTTTCTCAGAACCAGGGCAATTATGCGCACGTACACACACACACACACACACAAAAGTAAGAGGGAAGATGTTTTTTACAAAAAGAAAGACAGGACCCTCGACATTCTGTTTCAAGGCCTCGAGTTCAACTGGTGTTTGGGGTTTTTTTTGGTATTTATATACTCCTTGAGTGGACCTCCTTTGTCAGTGTCTTCATCCATGTCGGAACTGTCCCCCAGAGATCCCACCCCTCTTATCTGTAACCTCCCCCTTTGGCCCATGAACTCAGGTGATGCCGACCCCTCTATGTCTCAAAATACCAAAAAAAAAAAAAAATCAATTACCCTTCCCTTCCCCCCAGCTCCAAAGACATCCTCTCTGATGAAGTCCATACAGTGGCAACGTTATCTTATCGCCCGGTTTAGGATACCGCATCTTCCGTACTGTGACTCTGGTTACAGCCTCCAGACAGCCTTTCCTATGCATCTCTCTGGTTTCTGCGTGGCAAGCGGCTGAGGGAGGCCCTCCCAGGACGAAGCCCGGCCCAGAGGAGCTTCCTCCCAAGGGTTTCCGAACGTAGGCAGATGAGACACTCTCTCATACAAGACAGGTAACAAAGAGTTTCCATTGGGCTCATCCCCCCAGCCCAAAGCTTTGATTCGCCCCGGGGAAGCTGGGGGGAACTGCTTTATTAATTTAAAAATAGTTCAACACTGTGTACAAGTCTCATGTTCTGTAAAATGGAACATCAGCTTCTGTCGCAGCCCCGCCACCTCTACTCTGGCTCGCTGCTGTTCGTCACTTTCTCCCATTCCAAGCTCTCGTCACTTTGCGCGGGGGACCCGGGCCCAGGCCGCGCCCGGAGACCTTGGAACCGCCGACACTCGGGACACACCCTGATGTGGGTGCAGCCTCGGGCTACCAGGGCAGCTTCTTGGGCCAGTCTCTGTGCCAGTGGATCTGGTTCGCCCCCGCCACAGAGCTTGCCGTTGCTGAGCGTGGTGGTGGTGCGAGCTCTCCGTTCTTCTTGGATAACGGGACGAGTTCGTATAACCCCCCCTCGCCTCCGACGAGGTTGGAAACTGTCCTTGCAGAGAATGATGCTTCGCAACTCGGTCACCATCTCCTGGCAGACAGACACCTAGAGCGAGGAAAGAAGCGTAAGGTCAGTTTCTGGAAGTTGGGTCTTCGACATCCAGCACCCTTTCTGAAACCTCTCTGCTTCCAAAGGCTTTTTCGTCTGTTCGCTATCTCAGAATCTTTGCCTAAAGCCTGCACAGTTATGATGGTGCTACACAGATTGGAATAGCTGATCATTGTTCCAGATTCTAGCAAAACATCTTTTTTTGTAATTGGATTGAAACCTCTGCTATCTTATCAGAGCTGGAATCAACGACCCCTTTTCCTTGCATCTTAAACCTCAGCAATACTTGGGCCTGCTTCTTATTGAAGGTGTAAAGTAGCCCTATGCTTGGTCTGTTCCATTTCACGCAAAACAAACAAAAACAAAAAACTCCTATATGTAACCAGGACTTTTTTTCTGGGGGAACGTGCTGGAACAGAGTTCCGGAACCTCTTCAACAAAATTCTTTTAAAAATGTTTAAATATTCATGAGTTTTCAGCAGTGTTCCCTCTAAGCTGAGTTAGTGTGAGCTAGCTCACAGTTTTTTAGCCTCCAGCTCACACTTTTTTGTCTTTGCTCAGGAAGGAGGGCTCCAGAGCCAACTAATTTATGCAGTAGCCACATTGCTCGCTCACAACTTTAATGCCAGCAGCTCACAAAGTAGAATTTTTGCTCACGAGACTCTACAACTTAGAGGGAACAAAACTTCATTTCCTTCTCAATACTTCTGGCACCTCTTTTTTTAAAAAAACCAAAACAAAAACATAATTCTGGATGTAACAAATGCCAGGGACAAGGTTTTAGCATAGCTTTCTCCATCACTTGCCAGTTTTCTGAGCACAGAACATTTTCTGTAGGGAGGAACACTCAGTCAGTATGAAATTGCACACACTCGAGCACAGTTTTATCATCTCAGTGAGAATCGAGAAACCTTGAATGTTTCACAAGGTCTAAGAGCTGAGTAATGAAACAGAGGGGACTCGCCCTGGGCTCTTTTGCTGTTCTAATTATTTAGTCTTGTGTGTGGTTTATGTCTTATTCAATTTTTTTTTTAAAAAAATTAAGTTTATTTTCTGTAAACAGAAATGCATATAACGATCCCACCGAAACAAGACATTTATGATAACCACATGTCCTCTTCATGAAGTGAAAATTGCAGACACCATATAAATATCAGCCCAGGAAAAATAATACATTTGCTTGTCAGTTCAGGAATCAGCAATAAAAAACATCAAAGTGGCACTCCACATAATCTCAGGAATTACACATAACTTATTTTTTGGATACTAATATAAATAAATTGTTCTGTACTGATTGACCGTATTTACCAACTACTGTGTTATTTTCTGCAAAGCTGAACCACGATGCCCACGTTAACTTCCATTCCATGTGAGTACTTTCCATTGTTAGAAGCTTCTTTACTGTTGCCATTTTCACCACTCTTCTTTTACTATTTCTCAGGGGTCATTTCGTAGAAAAAGAGCTAGGGGAACTCACTAGCATAACTCATTAGCATATGCCACACCCCGACATCAGGGGCCCGGTGGTGGACCTGCAAGGCCAGCGGGAGTGCGAGGAAGCCCCGCCAAGGCCCTCCTTGGCCCCAGGCAGGCAGGGGGGGGGAGAGTCGGGGAAGAAGCAACTTACCCTCCCTCTTCTCCTGCCTCCTCCTGGCTGAATGAGGGCTGGAAGCGGGGTGGCAGGAAGCAGGGGGTGGGGCTTCGTCATGTGCCCCGCCCCCTGCACCTCACCCGGGGGAACTGCGTTCCCCCGCGATCCCCCCCGAAATGACCTCTGCTATTTCTACTGCTCTTATTTGTTGGTTTTTATCATTGCCCAAGGTTACTTATTTGTTGCCTTGTTGCTGAGGCAAGTCATATACTGGTTTTAGCTTTTCAGGATACAAATATTTTAAACAAATGTTGATGTCCACATACTTTAACCACCCACAGATTCCCTCCCAAATGTATTTATTTTATTTGTTGGGATTTTTACCCCGCCCTCCCTGCAAAGCGGGCTCAGGGCAGCTTACAAGGGGCAGAGCCCATATAAAAAAGGATAAAAGCAATAAAAACATTAGTAACAATTAGTCACAACAACAATATTAAATAGGAAACAGGATGGTCCCCGAAAATATACAATGATGGTAAAACAGTTCTCTGGGGATGATGTTGTCCTATAGCTGATCCCAAGCAAATAAGTCCGATAATATCGATCGTGGAAAATTGTGGCAGATCTTCCCGGGCCATCCTTAACCCAGATGTTGTCCACATCATTGGTGGTGGTGGTGGTGGTAGTGGCGGTCCCTATGTGAAAGCCTGGCGGAAGAGCTCCGTCTTGCAGGCCCTGCGGAACTGCATAAGATCCCACAGGGCCCTGATCTCCTCCGGGAGCTCGTTCCACCAGGTAGGGGCTGCCACCGAAAAGGACCTGGCCCTAGTCGCGGCGAGCCTTGCTTCCCGGGGGCCTGGAACCACCAGGCGATGTTGCGCCCCGGACCAAAGTGCTCTTGGGGGTATATGTGGGGAAAGGCGGTCCCTCAGGTAAGTCGCACCCTGGCCATATAGGGCTTTAAAGGTAAGTACCAACACTTTGAAACGGATTCGGTATGCTATTGGCAGCCAGTGCAGTGCTTTCAACCCAGGCCGGATGTGCTCCCACTTGAACATATGAAGCAGTCTTATACTGAATTAGACATTTAGTCCATCACTGTCAGTATTGTCTACTGGGACTGGTGGCTGCTCTCCAGGGTCTCAGGCAGAGATCTTTCCCATCACCTACTACCTGGTCCTTTTAACTGGAGATGCTGGGGATTGAACCTTGGACCTTCTGCATGCCCTCCCATTGAGCCATGGTTCCTCCCCCATAATAAGTAGTTTTGCCACTAAAGGAAAAGTACCAAAATGTTTAAAAATACATCATAGTTCTTTGCAGTTCCCCAGAGAACTAAGCAGCAATCTGTTTGGGCTTGTTTATGGTACTTTGAAGATTAAGGTATTCTCTGTGGGGGGGAATACCTCTCTACAGAAATGTTGCAATTTATGACATGGCTACCACATGTGCAGTAATGTACCTCCAGCTTTATATCATCTTCAGCTGCTACTGGATTGGTACTTCTAGAAGAAGTGCCATCTACAGAATATTTTACAGATAATATATTTTACATTGGCACAAGTTGAAACAGATGGATTGTGCACACCCCCGTATCTTATCCCGTTCTTCCTTTGCGATGGATTACTGTACGTCTACACCTCAAGCAAAATTAAACAGGTGTTGTTGTCACTGGCATAATATTATGGATTTGGTTGTCAGCCGTCTTGAGGGCTTTAAAGTTAAAGGGAAGGAGATGAATTCTCTAAAGAAGTGCCATGCAATACTGGAACCAAACTATTAAAATGTTTCTTAAGAGAGCTAAGCTGATTCCAGTGCAGAAGGGCTTCTTAAAGGTGTCTCTGCAACATATACACATTCAAACCATGATGTCACTAAATGAACTGCTCTCAGACCAATTGAAGGCATTAAGTCCATATGCAAAATATTTCCCCTTGTTAGTGCTACCAATTTTACCTCATCCACATCTATACATTTATCAATGCCATACGCCCTCCTCAGGCTCCACCCCAAATATCTCCAGGTATCTCCCCAAGTCAGAGCTAGCAACCCTATTTCTAATTCCTGGTTTCCTAGACCTTCATTAGTAATTTGAATACATTGTCTTAGGTCCGTTAGCAACTTTTTCCCAGTGAACATTTTTTTGCACAAAAAGTAAGGCTTTCGTGGGAGGCGACCTGGAAAGTTTCCAGAAAAACAGGCAAAAAGCATTTGAACTGACAATTTTTAAAAGCGACGTTAATTAAAATGGAATCCATCCCAACATATATTAAAACCATGGCTTTCCATTAATTATATCCTAAGGTAGTCACAATGGTTGACAGTGGATTGTCACAGAAATGGTTGGCTTAGGCTGAGCCGGTTGAAACTGAACCCGTCAAAGACGGGGGTCCTGTGCCTGAGTCGGAGCAGACAAAGGGTAGGGATCCCACTTCGATGAGGCTCTGTTAGTGCCAACGGCGGAGGTTAGGAGCTTGGGAGTGCTCCTGGATGCCTCCTTGACAATGGAGGCACAAGTAGCAGCCACTGCCAGGTCGGCCTTTTATCATCTTCAGTTGATTAGGCAGTTGGTTCCCTTCCTTGAACACAATGACCTGGCAACAGTGATCCATGCGATGGTCACCTCGAGGTTGGACTACTGTAATGCTCTCTACATGGGGCTGCCCTTATCGCAAATTCGGAATCTACAACTGGTGCAAAATGCTGCAGCCAGGCTGTTGGTGGGCCTCCCAATGCGGGAGCACATTCAGCCTGTGCTGAAGGCATTGCACTGACTACCGATAGCATACCGAGTTTGCTTTAAGGTGCTGGTTCTTACCTTTAAAGCCCATTAGTGCCAGGGACCTACATACCTGAGGGACCGCCTTTCCCCACATGCTCCCCAGAGAGCAGTGCGATCAGGGTCTCAACATCGACTCACCCTTCCCGTTCCAAAGCATGCCAGGCTAGCTACAACTAGGGCCAGGGCTTTCTCGGTGGTGGTTCCGCTCTGGTGGAACGAGCAACCGGAGGAGATCAGGGCCCTACGGGACCTTATGCAGTTCCGCAGGGCC